AAGGAGATCTAAGACTCTAAAATAGGTAGGAACATGAAATTTAAAAATGAAATTTCTTAGTTTATAAGTAAGAGCAGAGGACAAATGCAGAGTTATAAGGGAATGGGTGACAATGTGACATGTCTCTGACATGTCAGGGTTTTCTATTAGTTCAAAGATATAAACAGAAACTTTTGCTTCTATTCCTGGAACTCATTAGCCAATCCAACCCCTAAACCAAAAGAGGAAGGCTGCTTGAACAACAATGGAGTTAGAGGTTTTGGGTAGCAGTGAGGAACACATTAGTGTTAGAAGGAAGTGAGCAGATTCTTCCTGACAGGCTTTGGTGCTTAAGAAAACGGTTTCCTTTTGTGGCTGTTGGTAATCAAGCAACACTTGTCTCAGGGGATGTGAAGACATCTCCTCATGCCCGAGATGGCCATTTGGCCTCCTTCCTTCACTGGGCCGTTGGATATGGTTATGTTCTCTTACTGAGTATGACCAAAGGATAGGCCATACTGCCTCATAACACCAAGAGGTGACTAAGTACTTCCTTCTCAGGCAAAAATAATTCAACCATCCTTTAAAAATAAATGGCCAGTGGGGCATTTACCTCAGTGGTTCTGGCTCTTGCCTTGCAAGCACAAGGTCCTGAGTTTGATCCCCAGTACCAAAATAAATAAATAAATAAATAAAAAATAAATAAATAAATGGCCAAGCCAATCACATAGAGTTCAAACACAATTTTACTCCTGAAATCAAAGTGCTTCATTTTAATCAGTCTTATCTGCCTAATTTATATCTAATGTCCAGAGGCTTTAATTGTTTAGTGGAGAGTCTGTTGACCAAAGAAAGTCTTGTTACAAAGTACTATTTCCTGTGTGAGAGGGTACAATAGTTGAGAATTGACTCAAAAATCCTTTAATAAGGCAAGAGCTCAATAAATTTAGTGTAAGATGCTTGAATTTTAAATTTCATTTTTGTATGTTTATATATTTACAGTATCAATAAGAATACTGAACTGTATTTGAATATTGTGTTAGTCAACTTTCTGATACCATAACAAATACAGCAGATAAACACAAAAATTCTATCTTGCTCACAGCTTTATGATTTCAGTCCGTGGTAGGTTGGCCTATTGTTTTAAGGCTAGTGATCAGGCATCATATCATAGCAAGAGCATGTAGTGAAGGAAACCACTCACCTCATCATAGCCAGGAGGCAAAGATATTGGGCCAGGGTCCCAATATCTCCTTCAAGGGAAAAACCCTGATGACATAACTCCCTCCCACTAGATCCTACCTCTTAAAGGTTCTACTGTCTCCCATAGTGCCACTGAGAGGGAGGAAGCAGGAGACCAAGTCACTAACACATAGTGCATTAGGGGATCCAAACTATATCATATAGCAATTCTATTTGCATTATTTACTACTATAAAGTGGTGCAGAAACTGCATTTGGAAAGAACATTTTGATCTCTCTGAAATTAAAATCTTAAATCATTTGTACTTAAATGATAGAAGTGATCAAGTGGTTTTTTAATTCAGACTAAAATATATCTCACACTGCGGTGTTGTAACTTCAAAGCTGTGAACATATGATTGCCTGGGAAATTTGCATTCTGTCATCGTTGTCATGTATATTATATTACATTATATTATATTATCACTTTTATATATGGAAATAGACATTCATGTGTGTACTATGGAATCGATCCAGGTAAGCAGAAACCTGAGGCAAATTATTTGAATGTTTTGACGCAATGAGCCAGATGATTTCTATTTCACTAATTACTTCAACACACTTCTTCACTTAGTTGGGCAGTCTGAATTTCTGTTTCAAATGCATAGCTTTTACATTTTCGCAAAGTTGCTTTTTTGAGTGAATTTTAATCTTGAGTTTCTATTTCACTTCCCATTTACCATTTCAATCTGAGACTTTAATACTGTTTCCACAGTTACAAACCTCAGTTAATCGTGGCTCTGGGAATTGAGTTCTCAAGTTTATTCCCAACCCTCTTAACTCTCAGTTCCCAACATCGACTGTAGGCTCCAAATGTTGCCCCCAGGGACTAGGGTAGTGCCTGCCTGCTTATCCTGCCTGATAAACACTGTTAGTAAGCTAGAAGTCAGTGGCTCATTGCCAAGGCTTTAGCTTAGGGAAACCAATGTAGGAAAACATCTTTGGTCTTGCAGAGAAAAGGAAGTTGACAGTCTTCAATACAGTGTCCCTGTCTAATGGCAGCTTAGGCAGACTAGAAAAGCACAAAGTAAGCCACTGGAAGAAAGGAAGCTATCAATGGGCTGAGTTTTTCTAATCTCCTGGGTTTGCCAGGTATATACATAAATTGTGCTTAAAATTAGAATGCAATTTTTCCTTTTTGCTGCATTTCAAAATCCTACTGGTTTTTCAAGGTTTAGTTCAAGTTTTATTTTCTGTATTAAATTATACTCTTATATATCAAAAACATTTTAGGCTATAGAAAAGTGCAGATAATAATAGACAAACACTTGTGAATTATATAATTTATTTGATGATTTTTCTAATAAAAAAACAAGATTTACTCTCTGGAAGAAGAGGGTTGCAGGGCCGGGGATTTAGCTCAGTGTTTTCGCCACCTGCTGCACAAGCGCAAGGACCCAAGTTCGATCCCCGGTACCAAAACAAAAAAAAAAAAGAAGAGGGTTGCATGCTATCGAGACAGAAATCACTTACCAGCATCCAAAATTAATTGCTGTGGCATATGGGCAAATGAATCAGGAACAGAAGTTCCCTTATAAATTGTGCCTGGATTCATCTGCCTTTCCTTTTGGCTTACTCAGACTTTGCCACTTCCTTTACCCATGGTAAGTGCCACAACCTTCCCATCTCCCAAATAGACTTATGCATCTATAATCGACCTATCTGGTCTCCCTAGCAGCTCTCCAATCGGGGACTCTGCTTGACTGACAATTTGTTTTGACTCAGAACCTGAAGGAAAATATGTACAATACTGTTGTTTTTAGTCAATTATCTGGCTCTTAATTTGCAATTACTTTCTCAAGATTCTGACTTTCTCTTTATTTTGGGTTGAACTTTGTTCCCTCAAAGTTCACTTGTTGCAGTTCTCATTCCCCAATACCTGAGAAATGTGACCTTGTTTGAAAATAGGTTTGGTGATAGTATACTGAGTTCATACTGGAATAGGGTGAGGTTCTTATTCAACCTGACGGTGACCATACAGAAAAGGGAAATTTGAACACAAACATTCAGAGAAGAAGATAAGGTATAGACAAATAGGGAGCAGAAGGCCATGTGACGACAGGAGCATAGATTGGAGTCATACATGGGCAAGCCAACAGTATCAAGAACTGCTGCCAAATAGAAGCCAGAAGCAGGTGAAAATTCACCCTAGAGATTTATATGGAAACATGGTCCTGCTGACACCTGTATTCTAACATTTACCCTCTAGAGTTCTGAAACAACAAATTTCTATTGCTTTACACTAAGTAAAATAAATAAATATTTAAGAAAAAGTGTTACTGAGGATGTTAATATAACTGTTCAGCCTACTTCCAGAAGCCAGGGGTTGCCTGTCTTTGAGCTGTTAGGTAGAGTTTTTCAATGGTAATGCACTTTTCTTGGTCTCAGTATTTTTGCTAGGAGTCCATTTCCAGATCCCTAACATGAAAAGGCCTCAGATTCCTGTACTTATGCAAGCACACAGACTTTAGAATGGAAATGCGGCAAGGAAATTTAGCAGGACTCACCACCTTAACTGTGAACCATTACACCTATTCTGCCTTTCCAAACTGCTTCTGATTCCTGTCATATTGAACATTTGGTTTGGTTTCCAGTCACTTATTTTATATCAACCCTATGTATCCAGGTTATATTATTGCCCATGAAGACTATAAATTCTCAAAGCAGTATCATTCTCCTTTTAAAACAAGCTGAGAAAATGCCCAATTTAAGAGTTCTTACTTTATAGTCGAGTACATGTAAACCAACCTCTTTATCAGAGAAATGTGTATACTTAAAAGTGTGCCTCACTTCAGAGTAGAGACAACATTACAGCCATCCAACAGTTATTGATAATCTACTTTGAACAAATCCATGAGTTAAGTATGGATTAAGAAATGCACAAAGATTTGGTTTCATTACCTTGCAAGTATCTATCTGATATTAAAATTTGGTTTATATTTTAGGAATTTTTAAATGTTTTGATATTTTCCCAAAGCAAACCTGAAAACTTAGTATTTACACAAGGATTAAATAAGAATTGTTTATGCAATTTCAGTACCTGGACACCAAACCTGGGAAAGGCCCTCTCCCTTCTGCTCACCACTCTACCATCTTCCGAATATCTCTTAAAATTGTTTAATTAAACTGGCTCATCAGTACCACTGACTTCTTTATCAGAGTTTGAAAGTACATTACTGTATGTCATTTGTTTGTTTTCCACCAGCAGCAGATCACTATACAGAAAAACTGCGAAGGTGCAGTTTCTGGAACTTACACAGCACCTTTCTCTCCGTGACTGCATCTGAACACAAATTAAATGCATCCTTTGGCTTGTGTAACTATAATACACTGGGCCATGGACTCTATTCTGTTATCTAGACCCAAATGAAAGCAAAATAAATCAAGGAGCATTTTAATGAAATTATTTATTTATTGACCATTATTTGTGTTTTTAAATAAGTAGGCAGACTACATCATTACATAATGCACCATCTTTAACTAGCCCCATTTAAAATTTTACATACACTGTTCCTATGATATTCTTTCCATCAAAATTTGATAAAGCAAAATTCAATAAAGTCACAGAAATTATTATGGCTGGTTATTAGTCAAGAACTGACTATCCTAAACCAAAGACTAACTAACAACCATTCATTTTTTTTGTTTTGTTTTTGTTTTTGTTTGGTTTTTTGGTACTGGGGATTGAACTCAGGACCTCACACTTGCCAGCCAGGTGTTACGCTGCTGAGCTACATCCCCAGGCCTCATTCATTATTTCTTTTAATCTCTATTTTCCAGACCCTGCAGATGGATGTAAACAAACTGAACATAACCTTGCTTCGGATATTCCGCCAAGGAGTGGCTGCAGCTTTAGGAATCTTACCTCAGCAAGTGCACATAAATCGCCTGATTGTAAGATGCCTACATTTCGCATTCCCAGAATTTAAGTCATGTTTGTCATTGAAGGGCTCATATTATAGTTTTATCATTCATAAGTCAAATCTGGCCTACGATCTGTTTTTGCAAATAAAGTTTTAATGTAACAACCCACAACCATTCATTCACATATTGTCCATTTCTGCTTTCATGTTTATGGTGGCAGAATTGAATGGTTGCAACAGATTGTTTGCCCCTTGAAGCCTATGGTATTTACCATCTGGTCTATTACAGAAAAAGTTTGCCCACTCTGTCATAGTTCAAGACTGGCTGCCCTGCTAAGTATGAATGAAGGGGCTCAAAATATTTGCCTTACCAACCTGTTCCTATTTCTAAAGTATTCCTGATGAAAGTAGAACTTCTGTATTAGGTAAGGCATTGTTTTCAGAGTCATTTTAAAACCTCAAGTACAGGAGCGCAATGATGGACGCTGAATGCACAAAACAGAGGAGTTTGAGTAATCTACCTTTACAGACAGCAGCCCAAATGGAATGCATGAATGGATGGTCCAGAAAGGCCAAGACAAAACTTGGATAGGCATTGGAGGAAAGCCCAAGGGACCTTTTGTACAGGGCCCTACAAACTTTCTCTACCTCCTTTTCTTAGTGTTTGCATTAGTTACTTTTCTTTTGTTGCTGAGACAAAATACCCATCATCCAAAGTTAAAGGGGAAAGGGCTTATTTACCTCACAGTTTATAGAGGTTTCAGTTCATAATCAGCTGGCTGAAAGGCAGAGTGGCACATGGCAGAGGGCCATTGCATAGGAAAAAGAATTTATGGTTCCCACATGGTAGCAAAAACAACAAGGGACTTAACAGAATCTTTCTGCCCCTTTTTTCTTATTCAGACTATTTAGGGTTGGTAGCACTACATTCTTAATCCTAGCACCCTTGAGCCTAGAATTGCATCATTAATCAACTCCATGTCACACACTCTAGATCAAGCCACCTCTGAAAAAGCCTATGACCACATGAGGTTTTGGAGGGACATCTAGACACAAAACATAACAGTGTCCAAGCACATGTTCCAATCTGCACCTGAAAGTGGATGTGCATAAAAGGGGGAAAATGTAAATGCAAATCAGATGATATTTTCTTTGTAAGAAATTACTTACCTAAGATTCAGGTGAAAAGGAACTTGGGAACTTTTGTATTGTTTTTGAATTGATTTTAACTTTTTAAAAAAATTTTATTGGTACATCTTACATATACAGTATAATGACATTCATCATTGGAAATTGGAACTTTTACATAATCTCTCTTGGTTCTTATTTTTCCCCTTCCCCTGCCCTCCCTTCAACCCCTCCATCCCTCCCTATTTACAAAGACTTTGTTTCCATGTTTTCATTTGCTCATATTAATTGCATTCCCTTCTTTCCTTTCCCCTACCCCTCCCAATTCCCAATCACCTTTGCCCCTTTTCTTCCTATTTCACATTATCTATTATACCTTTTAGTCCTTATTTACACTTTCAGTTTCTCACACTAGAGAAACTATTTGGTATTTACACATGTGCATCCTATTTATTTCACTTGAGTATCACCTCAATGTGCAACCATTTAACTATAAATGTCTCTAATTTATCATTGTTTATGGCTTAATAGTACTCGAATTTATTTTTAAAAACCACATTTTCTTTATCCAGTGTCCAGTTGATGGGCATTTGGGCTGTTTCCAAGTTTCAGCTATTACACATTATGCTGCTATGAACATGGGAGCCCATATATCACTGTGATATGATTCTTTTAATTCTTTGGGGAAGATACCCAGCAGAGGAATAGCTGGGTCAAATGGGACTTCCAGTGCTAGTTCTTTGAGGTATCTCCATACTGATTTCCACAGTGGTTGCAGCAGTCAACACTCCCATCAGCAGTGGAGCAGTATTCCTCTTTCCCCACAGCCCCTCCAGCATTTGTTATTGGTTTATTTCATGATAGCAGCCATTCTTTTCTGGGGTGAGGTAGAATCCAATGTTGTTTTCATTTGCATCTCTCAAATGTCCAGTGATGTTGAACATTTTTTCATGTATTTATTTGCTATTTCTACTTCCTTGTCTGAGAAATATCTGTTCTTTTCAGATGCCCATTTTTGGACTGGGTCTTTAAATTTGGGAGGTCTGATTTTTTTAAGTTCTTTTAGATTCTAGATAGTAAATTTTTGTCTGAGGAACAGCAGGAGAAAATTTTTTCCTACATTGTGGGTAGTCTCTTCTCACTGTTGCTGGTTTCACTTGCTGTGCAGAAGCTTTTTAATAAGAAGAGATCCCATTTGTTAATTGTTTATCCTAGTTGATGGGCAACTGAGGTTTTGTTCATAAAATCTTTTCCTACACCAATGTCTTCAAGAGTTCTACCTAACCTCTGTTCCAGCCAGTTCAGAGTTTCTGTTTTAATATTTAGATTTTTAATCCATTTCAATTTTAATTTAGTGCATGGTGAGAGATATAGGTCTAGTTTTAATCTTTGACAAGTGGAAACTCAATTTTTCCAGCACCGTTTATTAAAGAGGCTATCTTTCCTCCAGTGAGGGTGTTTGGCTCCTTTGTCAAAGATGAGGGGGTTGAGTGTGTCTAGAGTTATTTCTGCATCTTTTAATCTGTTCCACTGGTCCTCAGATTTGTTTCTTTGCCAGTACCATACTGTTTCTATCACAGTAGTTTTGTAGTATAGTTTCAAGTGGGGATTGTGATATCCCCTGCCATGTCTCTATTGCCTAGAATTGCTTTTGCCATTCTAGGGCTCTTCTTGATCCAAATGAATTTTTGGATTGTTTTCTCAAGGTCCATGAAGTATGCTGCTGGGAATTCAATTGGAATTGCATTGAATCTATATAGCACTTTTGGAAGTATGGCCATTTTCACTATGTTGATTCTTCCTACCCAGGAACAAGGGATGTTTTTCCATTTTCTGATATCATTTCCAATCTCTCTTTTCAGAGTGCTATAGCTTTCAGAGAAGAGGTCTTTGATTTCTTTTGTTAAGTTGATTCCTAGGTATTTCAGGTTTTTGGATGCTGTTGTGAAAGGAATCGTTTGCCCTATTTCTCTCTCAGTGAGTCTGTCATTGGTGTAGAGGAAAGCTATTGATTTTT